AAAAATTTATCCAAAATTCTTATAAATTTTTCTCTTTCATTATTCCCTTTCTCGGGAAGAGTATTTTCTTTTTCAAGAGGAAAAAGGACAAGGCATAAGATATTTTCTTTTTCCTCTTTCAATGTTATACTCCTTTCGAGATGATAAATGTATGTTTGAAATTCAAGAGAATCCTTTTTCTCTTCTTCATATTTTTTGGTTGACGCAATTCATTTAATTAGCTTCAATGGCCGTGAGGAAACCTGGTCTGATTGCTTTGTTTGATGTTGATGGAACTCTCACAGCACCAAGAAAGGTATCTGTTAACTCTGGTGTACATTATTACTAAGCAGGCTATTCATGAATTCATGTGACTTCTGTTGACATGTTTTTTTGGTCCAATCAAATATAAGGTGGCATCTATACAAATGTTAGATTTCATGCGGGACCTGCAGCAGGTAAGTGATAATCGACGTGTCTTCTTAGAGATGTCTCCCCTTAAAATGTGATGAAGGATTTACTAAATTTCAGGTTGTTACAGTTGGGGTTGTGGGTGGATCTGACCTTAGCAAGATATCTGAGCAGCTTGGGAAAACAGGTTTTCCATAAGTACAACTTTATTTGTCTTTGCAGTCAATAAGTAGACTAATACTGAGAATGTCCTATTGGGTTTATATGGTCTTGACCTTTGCAGCTAATTCCTCGTATGAATCAGCAGCAAAATTTTCTGGTTTTATTTCTTATCAGAAAAATTGTTGCTACAGAAAAATATTTCTTTCTGAAAAGAATCTTAGTCTGTGAATCCTGAATAGCTTCATGATTAACTCTATATTTCTTTGTTATGCAGTCATTAAGGACTATGATTACGTGTTTTCTGAGAATGGTCTTGTTGCTCATAAAGATGGGAAACTCATTGGTACTCAGGTACATTGATAATGTAAATTGAAAAGTTTTAGCTAGGTTTTGAGTTTATGTTCCACTGCTCCCAGTATGTTATGAATATCTTTCGCTGGGGATCTTAAGTGACTGCCTGATCTGCTCTAATCTGGTAGATGCTTATGTTCTCTATCCTACCTAAATTACTTCTTCTAGGAACAAAAAGCATAAATAGTACTCTTTTATGTAGTATTTGAAGATATATTTCGTTAACTTCGCTGATATGGAGGCAGGGTAAAAGCCATCTTTTTGCTCATTTTTGGTGGACAGAATGTTGCAATTTTCTAAAAGAAAGAAGCTATTCTGGGGTTACAATTAACAAACAGTTAGGGACAAACTATTTAGTAATTTAATGAGTTAAGAATCAAGAATGTTGAGCATAATACAATTATATCTTGGAATCTTGGTAACATTTTATTCTTTGTAGTTTACTTCCAGAGCTTTCTATCTTCTCCTTCCTTTATCCAGTCTCCTCTGATGGTTTTGTATCTCCTTTTTCCAGAGCTTGAAGTCATTTCTTGGAGAGGAAAAGCTCAAGGTAAGGATTCTTCTTTATCATATTTGATCTCTTAAATAAGACAAGGCGCCGAACAACATGTTGTTGGGAAGATAAGGAAGATGTCCACCAGTAGCATGCTTGATGTGTTTTTATACCATAGAAACAATTATGAGGGTGGTTTCGCTCAAATGACTTCACATCTACATGCATGTCTAGCTTAACTAGCATATGGATTTTATTTATTTTTGTTACATACTTGATATGATTGTACAGGAATTTATAAACTTTACGCTTCATTATATTGCTGACTTGGATATCCCAATAAAAAGGTAATTACACTGGTGGCAAGCACATCGACTTTCATGGAAGTGAACTCCTACTCTCTTTTCCTGTTTATCACTCGAGCTGAATAAAACCGTCTATCACCATTTATTTTACTAGGGGAACATTTATAGAATTCCGAAGTGGGATGATCAATGTCTCACCAATTGG